ACGGGCGCCTTGCACACCGGCTTCACGTTGCTCTGCCGCAGGTACGCAGGTTTTGAATTGGAGGCTGAAAGCACTTGCACGCCCTGGACGTTCGTTAATCTTTCCTTTTAACGAGAGAAGGCGCCGTGCAGGGAGGAGCTGGAGGCTCTGCTGCTCCAGTTCCCACCCCATGTCCTCTGCCAGCTCCTCCTGGGCTCCTCTTGGCGTCCAGCTCTCGAGCATCCATCCCGTCTCCCTCCTTCTCTGGCCGCGAGCTTTCACGGTGGGATTGGGAAGTGCCGAGGCTCTCGGCTGGGCAGGCAGCAGGGCGCTCGGCCCCAGGAATTCGGGCAGCCCCAGTGATTCATGTCACCTCCCCGCCGCTTGTGTCACCGTGCCGTTGTCCCCAGGGCCCGTTCCCGCCCGCCGTGACGGCTGTGTGTCTGTCCGCCCGCAGAGGAGCCGCGGGTGCCGTTGTCTCTCTGGCTCAGACGCCCCGGGCAGTGCGGGGGGCTGCCTGGGGCTCCTTATTAGTCGCCTTTGTGCCGGTCCCCCGAGGTGCAAGTAGAGCAGGTTTGAAGTCTGGAGCTCAGATTGTATTTTGCTATGCTTTGAGGAGCGTGTTTATTCCAGGGGTGGACGTTGGGCTTATTTGATTTCATATTTGCTGTGTAAGAGCTTACGTTTAGCAATGACACATGTTTTCTGCCAAGCCTGACTTCAGGATAACTGCTTACCTCTTGATGGCCAGGCTTCTGCCAGGGCGTTTTGTACCTGGGGAACATTTTAAAAGCGGCCCTGCCCTAAGGTGCTCTGAAACGAGCTTCTGGATTGGTGCTGGGCGAAGGCGGACTGGCTGAAAAACCGGCCGTTGCTGCTGCGGGACCCGCACACGTCGTGTGCCAGACTGCACAGCCATCACCCCTGGCATGGCACCTGCGCTCAGGCGAGCTGCTCAGCACCTCCCCGGGCAGCCTGCGGGTGACACGGCTGTCCTCACCGCCGGATTTGCAATGGGACTCTCCCCACAGCGTGTGTGCAATGTGCTCGGCTCGTTAGAAAGCCTGGCAGAGCCCCGGGCTGTGGTGTGTGTTCCCCTTCCCCGGGCTGTGGTGTGTGTTCCCCTTCCCCAGGGCTGTGGTGTGTGTTCCCCTTCCCCAGGCTGTGGTGTTCCCCTTCCCCGGGCTGTGGTGTTCCCCTTCCCCGGGCTGTGGTGTTCCCCTTCCCCAGGCTGTGGTGTGTGTTCCCCTTCCCTGGGCTGTGGTGTGTGTTCCCCTTCCCTGGGCTGTGGTGTTCCCCTTCCCCGGGCTGTGGTGTGTGTTCCCCTTTCCCAGGCTGTGGTGTTCCCCTTCCCCGGGCTGTGGTGTGTGTTCCCCTTCCCCGGGCTGTGGTGTGTGTTCCCCTTCCCCAGGCTGTGGTGTGTGTTCCCCTTCCCTGGGCTGTGGTGTTCCCCTTCCCCGGGCTGTGGTGTGTGTTCCCCTTCCCCAGGCTGTGGTGTTCCCCTTCCCCAGGCTGTGGTGTTCCCCTTCCCCGGGCTGTGGTGTTCCCCTTCCCCAGGCTGTGGTGTGTGTTCCCCTTCCCCGGGCTGTGGTGTTCCCCTTCCCCGGGCTGTGGTGTTCCCCTTCCCCGGGCTGTGGTGTTCCCCTTTCCCAGGCTGTGGTGTTCCCCTTCCCCAGGCTGTGGTGTGTGTTCCCCTTCCCCAGGCTGTGGTGTGTGTTCCCCTTCCCCGGGCTGTGGTGTGTGTTCCCCTTCCCCGGGCTGTGGTGTTCCCCTTCCCCGGGCTGTCCTCGCCACCCCGCTGCACTGGGCTCCTGCAGGCAGCGGGGCGGTCGGGCTCCCCGGGGACTCCTGGGGTGAGGCGTTCGCTCCACGGCTCCTGCGAAGCAGCGCCGAAGCCGTGGCGTTGCCCGCCCGGCGCTGCCCCTCCGCTGTTCCCTCCCCGTCGGGCAGGAGTTTCACGCCAGCTTGCTCAAGCCCTGCCGTCGGTGCGCGGAGGTGGGGAGCTGCATTGTTTTGGCTGCCTGCCACTCGTCATCTCGTGCGTGGCGCGGTGGTTATTACCTGGGCTTCGCTCCTTGCGTTAAGAACGTTTTTTAGTGCGGACAGTAACAGTCGCATCGACTGGGGCAGGGCTAGGGCTGTAAAAGAATTTCCTGTTGTCCTATTCCCGATTGTTAAAGTGGTAAAAAACAAGACAGAATGGGACAATAAAGAGCCTGTGGATGTGAATGGCCATCCTGGGTGCTGTTAAGGCTGGGTGAGCTGGCCGTAGCTGCAAGGGGCAGTGCTGGGTGGGTAGCTGAAGATCCTCATTCTGCTATGGAGGAGCGGCTGCTGCTCAGGGCTCTGTGCTGGCCTCGGGGTCTGCTGCCAGGCCAGGGCTGGTCTGGGCAACCTGGGTGCATGTTGTCCCCGAGAGCAGGATGGTCTCTGGCTGCGGGACGTGGTCTCTGCAGACCAAAGCTGAGCTGCGTGGTAGAGACAGGAGCAGGGAGGCAGAATGTGCCACAGAGCTCCCTGTTGGCTTCAGGCCTGTGGCTGGGTGGTGACTCCTGCCCCTCTGCCTGTCAGCACGGCGTCTTTCCTGCTTGTTATGTTCCTTTCATAACATAAAAGATCAAAACAGCAGAATTTAGTGCAATGCTTTTCTTCGCTTCTCCTGCCCGCATTTCAGCTGCCACCGGTGCGCCTTGTAGACGAGCATCTTGGTGTCCAAAGCTGATCCTCTCCCCAGCAGATAGGCACCGTGCCAGCAGTCTTTAATAAAACCGCTCTTAAAGCACGGGTCCCTTTCTAGGGTTTGAGGAATATCCACTTGCAGGGCAGTAATCGGTGAAGCCCTCCATTTGTTTTTATCTGTAAAATGTGCCAGGTTGGAATAAATGGCTCAAGGCGAGACAAACCCGCCCGTGCTCCGTCCGGAGCGCGGGTTGCCTCGGCTGTGGTGGTCCCGTGGGTGCGGGGCTGAGCCGTGATGCCGGGGGGGGGTGAGGAGCAGCAGCCCCCCCCGTGCCTCCCTGCGCTGGAGCAGCCAGCCCAGCGCGCGCCCCGACCCGGCGTTTCGTGCTTGTGGAGAGACTGAAGTGACGCGTGCTCCAGCGGCGCGCCCAAGGTCACACAGCACAATAAATCAGTGTCTCATCGGGGATGAGAACCCAAGATATTTCTGTAGCCCCTCCAGCCATCACCAAGTCTTTCGCTATCACAGCCAGACTACACAACTTTGTATGCCTGTAGCACCCTTTTGAAGTTAAGCTGTGGATAAATAGGCAGACAGCAATACTTTCTGGGCATTTTTTCTTTTTTTTTTTTTTTTTTTTTTTCTGTTTTGCTCAAGTACTTGAAAGTACGAGAATCAAAGTGTAAGAGCATGGGCTTTTAGATCTTGGTGCAGGTTGTTCTGCATGTAAGGCTCAGAGCATCCTTCTCTCAAACTGCTGTAAAGGTGGCTGCCAACACCCAGACCTCCTACACAGCCACCCGGCGCCACGCTCCTCACCACCAGGTAGCTGCTGTGACGTAGAGAAAAAGCTAATGTTTTACCCATAGATTTTTCAACTAATTGGCTTCTTCTCCTTTAAAAAAAAAATTCCTTTTTTTTTTTTTTTTTTTTTTTTGAGGTCTGCCTTTTACTCGTTTATTCTCTGTAAGTGTTAAGCTGCTCATATTTTGGTGCATTGTGTTATGTGCTGAGAATTTTTATCAGCCGCCCTAGTGCTCGAATGTGGTGGAAATACCAATGTGTCTGAGGAGCGGAGGTTACGAACACAGATGTACAACGCATCAGAATGAACGGTTTGCAGATGGACGGGAAGCAAACCCAGGCTGAGTCTGCACCTTTGCAGGCTTCAATCCATCAAACCGGCACCGACCGAGTGCGGTCTTGTGTAGGTAATGGCATTACTGCTTTATTGCTGCTTTGTGTGTATATAGGTAACGATAGGAAGCAGCTGTGTCTTTGCATAGGGCGAGGTTGTGCTTACAAGGGCTAGCTGCTATTAGAAGTTCTTATCAAATGAATTAAAAGTCATAAGCCAAGACTGAAAAGCGGCCGGGAGCCTGCGGTGTTGAGCAGGAACCACGGTGGAAAGCTCAGCAAATGGCTGAGGATCTCGAGACTCCTGGATTTGGTTTCCAGGTTTGCACTTGGCTGAGCCTGGCTGCTTCCCTGCGCCCCAGTTTGTCCGTCCGCGATGGGGGTTGAGGCCGTGCAGTCCCCTGGGGTCGGCTGGCAGCGCGGGGGTGCCGGCAAGCACTGGGCTCGAGGGTTTAACCTGCCTGGGAGTGCTCAGACCTGGGCACGGAGGGTCCTTGGAAAGGGTTAAACCACCGCTCCATATTTCAGCCCTCTAAAGTGGTGTTGGGACGGCCCCAAGTTGAGAGAAGGGATCTTTATCGCTCTCGTATGAATAAAGCCCCAGCGCTGGGAATGACACATTTAATCTTCAGTGGAGTGGGCGGTTTGGGAGATTTATAAAGCCTCTGTTTGGTGAGAGGTCAGTGGGGATTAAGCAAAAAGTTAAAACACACATACATGCCAGAAAAGAAAAAAAAAAAAAAAAAAAAAAAAAAAAGAAAGAAACCACCCTCCTCCCTCTGCTCCCTTCCCCCTGCTGCAAAAAGTCAAGCTTAAATGTTGCGTCAAGCCAAGCTTAAAACATGGTGGCTTTTAGCACTGGTTACTAAGCCCGGAAAGTGCTGACTGCGAGCGGCTCGGCACCTGGGCCGGACCCGCCGTGACGGATTCGTGGCTGTAACTCCTTTCCCCGGGATGCGGGTCTGGCGGCGGCAGGTGACACACAACCTGTTGGAAATTACACTCCAGCCTTTAGAGCAGCGGAGAAGTGGCTGTAAAAATCCCTCCGGCGAGCCTTGCCTTCCAAACGAGTGCTGCTTGGGGAGGGATAACCGCGGCTTGGGGAGCGGTGGGGCAGGCTGGGGGGTGGCGGGCACCCCCGGCCGGGCTCCCCGCTTCCCCCCCCCCCCAGCCCTTCACCGTCCCTTGTGTTTTCTCCACGCAGATCAGAGCGAAGGATTTCATTGCAGGGAGGAGTGCCGCATCCTGGGCCACTCGGACCGGTGCTGGATGCCCCGCGGCGCCGTCCCCAGCCGCGCCAAGTCCCCCGAGCGCGGCAGGAACGTCATCGCCCTCTCCATCGAGGCGACGGCGGTGGACGCCGAGCCTTACGCAGACTGCAGCACAAAAAGGACCTTCGCCACCTTCGGCAAGGAGGGCGGCGAGCCCCTCGCCGACGAGCGGCCCGCCAACCCCAAAGGCAAAAGAACGGTGGACCCCGGCCGCCGGCAGCCCCAAGGTGAGCGGCGCCGTCCGCGAGGCCGGCAACGGCTGCGAGGCCGTCAGCCCCGTCACCTCGCCCCTCCACCTGAAGAGCCCTTTGTCCGGCAAGCCGGCGGCACCCTACGGTGCCGGGCACTGCGCCGGCAACCGGGAACGGGAGCCCTTTGGGAACAGTGGCCCTTCCCGGCCGACCGAGGCAGAGCCCCGGGGGGCGGACAGCGAGAGCGGCGGGCAGGAGGGCAACCCGCTCCTGCAGGAACGCCGGGAAAAGGACTCGCCCGGCGCCCGGAGACTAAAAGACATCATCCTCTGAGCAGCACCTGGCGAGATGAAGAGGGAGGAGGAGGAGGAGGAAGAGGAGGAGGAGGAGGAGGATGAGGGACCGCACGACTCCCAGCGCAGATTGTTTTTATCGCTTACCAATGGTTCACAGATTGCTGTATTTAAAAGCTTTCCCTAAATGTATTGTTTATAAATGAAGCTATCGTTAATGTGACAATCCCACTTGTCTCAACAGGCAGCAGGGGTGTGCAGCCGGAGCAAAGTAGCGGGTGTTTTGCTTTTGCCGGGAGGCGGTGGGTGGCGGGGGGGCAGAGGCGAGACCCCCCCCCCCCCCGGTCCTCAGGAGCGCTCGGTATCCCCTCCTCGGAGTTTATATATTTTTCTATCTGAAAACGAAGATAAATTTCCATTCCTGGAAAGAATTGAATGGCAAATTCCTTATTCGGACATCTTCAGTAATCACCCCGGCAGTTTTGGAGTCTAGACAAAATAGCGGCCATTTCTTGTGTGCGGCTGTTCAGCATGACAGTCGGGTGAGTTTTAATATTCGCTCAACACAAGGTTGTTTGTATTTTAAGATGTTGCTATTTTGCTATGGACACCCCTGCATTTATGAATCCTTTTGCTGTCACATGCTTATCTGTACTATTATTGTATTTGATATTGAAAATTACTGTATGTCTAGTGATGGCAAAAGGCTTTCAAGCTTAAAAAAATAAAAAAATTAAAAAAAAAAATAAAAAAATCACGAATCATCTTAGTTAAACTTTGGGGAACCTGCAGTTTTCAGACCTGGTGGAGCAAGCGCTTCTCCCAGCCCCCACCATCGCCTGCAGCCGCCCCGGCTCTTGCAGGGCAGTGACAGGCCGTTACGGGAAGACGTTTTGGGGAAAATCCTGCCTGGATTGCAATTGTCGGATGCACTGTGTCGAACTTTTTCCCTTGTCCGTTTCTTTTGCAGAATTTCAAGGCAATGCATGGAAAGTTTTCCCAGAAGATGTTTGCTTTGGTTTGGTTTGTTTTTTTCCCAGTTCCCAGATTTAGATATCCCCCCGTCTCCAGTCATCTCCGAGTCAAAGTGATGGAATTATTTAAAGAGAGCTACGTTACCTTCCCAGACAGACACACACTTCCAAGTCAGCAGTTCCCAGTCATGATTATGCCAAGTAGGCGTGTGCTGGTATGTCATCATGGCGTGGATTTGGGACTGTTCTGATTTCTTTCTATCCCTGCATCATAGATAAGTATGGAACGAGCAAGAGTGATGTTAATTTAGGGGCAGACAGGTGATATGTAACAACGGTACTAATTCAATTAATGTGCCTTCTTAATGGAGAAAAAATGAAAGATATTCATTATTTTTTCTCATAATTAAGGACTTTTTTGTGTGGGTACAAATTTACTCATATAAAATTGATTTTAAAATTGAGCTACTTTAATAGCCATTTGTAGAAGGGAGAGAGGGAAGGGGTTTCACAGCTCTTTTCTCTCACAGTGATAATTCCTCAGTGAGGTGTGAGTAAGGTAGGAGGATTTCAGTTAGATTATTATTATTATTGTTATTATTGTTATTATTATTATTGATATTATTATTATTATTAACCCTTCACCAAACAGATTTTCCTACCCTAAATAATATTTCCTAGAATTTAAAATTGATTATGGAAGGGAAAATATATAGCTCTTGCCAATGTTTGCTGTACCAGCAAGTTGAGATTAGTGGTTTCTAGAGAAATAGTCTTTCTAGGTCTACATATCATGATAAAATATTTGTTACTTTGATTTATTTAAATTAAAAATGTCAACAAGAAAACAAGCTCCAGTCATTATTATCCTCAAAAGAAAATTAAGCTCCAGCCATTTGTTTCTTCAGGGCAAATTGATCCTGCCTGAAGCCGCAGCTGGTCCGAGACAGGTCCGCAGTCAGTCTGTTTCCCCTGTCACTTGCTGAGGCCGGGAATTGGGAAAGAACCGACAAAAAACGGTCGTCTAATGAAATTTGTGACACTTCCCTCGCTGGTGTTGATGACTACCTCATTCAGCTCCCATCCATGCATTAACGTGATGTCCTGCATCCCTCTGGAAAGTGAACTGGGGATTTTCCCCTCTGTTCTGGAGTTTGAGCCCATTTTTCAGGGATATGTTATTTCTGTTCCTGCAGTGTTTCCTGCCTGCCTACTGTTACTGCTGTCATTTATTTATGTTTTTTTTGTTTTTTTTGTTTTTTGTTTTTTGTTTTTTCCCCAAATGTGTATTTTATTGTAACACAAGCAAAGACGAAAGGGGCTGGCGTGGGGCTGCGGGAGTAACTGGATTTTCTGTAACTGTTCAGCCGAGTTCATTCTGATGCTACCTGTTTTTGTCAGCTCTGGTTGGTTTTTCTTGGAGGGGGGAAGCTTCTCGTCTGTGTTTGCTGAGTGACAGAGCCTGCCATGCCCCGTCTGCCAGATCCTTTCGGCCTCGCAGGGACACGGCCCCACGTTGCCCCATCGTCTGCACCCACCTCCGCCAGGAAGGGCCCCGGCTCCCCCCCGTGCCCATCGCGGGGATGGGGAGTGTGGGTGCCCCCCGTCCCGGGGCACCCCACCATCACCATCATCCCCAGCTGCCTGGAAAACGCCAGCTGTTAATTTCTGCTGAGCGTTGCCCTCTGCCTGAGGAGCTGCCAACACCAGCCTGGCGTTTTAGATGAAAAATAGATGCTAACTGAAAAGGAAGAAAGAAAAAAAAAAAAAAAAAAACCAAAAACATTTCTCTAATTTACCCAGAGGAAACATTCCTTGCCACTCTGAATAAAAGTGCAGCCGAGAAGGAATGTGAAATAATTCTGTATTAAAAGGGGGCATTAAAGAGGTCAGTAAACCCTTATGCCTCCAAGAAAATCGTTTAAACACCAGATTTCTGGGCTGACCCGGGCTGCAGCCAGGGATGCTGAGTGCGGGGCATCGTCCTCGCTCTGCGGGGCCGAGGGGAGAGCCGGGGAGCGGGCCTGGCTCCGCCAGCTCGCCCCACTCCTGAATGTTTTGCTACTCCTGTCACTGTCCCTCTGTGTCACTGGAGATGAGTTCAGGGCTCCTGGGCAAATCGCAGCCTCTCTTGGTTTTTTTCCTATTGCATCGAAACTGGCCATGCAAAAACGTTCAAGGCTGCAGGGACTGGAGGGGGGAGGAGGGTGTTGGGGGGGGGGTGTGTTGTCCAGATGTAATTATTGTGCTTGTTTAATAACTTAAACCTGTCCTCAGATTTGGTTAGGAAAAATAGCTGGGATCTGTTGGTTTCCCTCAGGCAAACTTGTTCTGCTCTCCCGTTTATCCCCTGTTTATCCAGGAGAGCAGCAACCACCTGTAATTCTTCCCGAGCGTAAGGAGGGCCTCAGCTGGAGCAGCCCCGGGGCTGGGGACCAGGGGGGTGAACCCACCCTGTGCTGGCCCAGGGCCCCATCCCTGCTCCCCGGGAGCCCCTGGCCTTCCCCACCCCCGAGGCTGCAGGGCTGTGCCGGGAGGGGTGAGGGAGGGCTAGGGGGGACCACTGATGCCTGGAAAAATACCCCCTGAGCACCATCCTGCTGAGGTTGCTGCCGTTCCCTGTTTGTTGTGAAGCTGGAGGTGGCCTGTGGATCACACGTTGTGCAGAAGTGAATTCCTTTTTTTTTTTTTTTTTTTTTTTATTTTTTTTTTCAAATAGGAAAGAAGTTGCTTTTGTAAGAACACACTGTCTGATGAATATGTTGAAACTATTCTTGGGGGGGGGGGGGGGAAAATAATATCTAATGATGAATGGAAACACATTTGTCTGTCATTGGGGAAAATTGATGATCTTGTTGCTACAGCTGCTTTTGCAGCTACGGGTAATCTCTGACCCAACCTGTGAGCTGCGGTACCCGTCGGGGAGAAGCCCAGCCGCCCCCCACTGCCAGCACCGCTGAGACGGCCCCTTGGCCGGCATCAACTGACGTTCAGCTGATCCGAGCTGGGGGGTAACCTTCAAACACGCCGAACGCAAACTGGTTGGCAGCGGCACGCGCCTCCTTGCAGCCTGGCGAGGTCCGAGCCGCTGGGCTCGCCCCGGGACCCCCGTCCCCGTCCCGCGGCCGGGCTGCCGGCAGCAGGCAGGGCTGCCGCGGGACTCGGCGCGGTCTGTCTCGTCATGGTGTCTCCGTCGCCGAGTATATGAAGAATAAAGTGTTGTATATGCTGATACGTATGTTATGTACATTTTCACAGTGATTGAATAATTGTAAACAACGAAATGCAAAAAGGAAAAAAAAAAAAGAAAAAAAAAAAAAGAATCACCATTTTGTCTATTTTATGAAGATGAAAAAGCAGCTTTATTAAATTATTACGATTCTGTTTCAAAATGGTGTACCTGCCACACTGTTTTTTTTTCATCTGATGAGAACTTAGTTTTCCACCTAAATGTGATTTTTTTTCTTTTCTCTGCTTTGAGCATCTAATGCATTTTAGTATTAAAGCAATTATTGAATAAAATGGAAAATAAGTGTTTGGTTAAATATGCCTAAGTGGGTTTGCTTTGGTGGGCTCCAGGTGCTGGTCCCGTAGAACCCAGCGCAGCGCTGGGTGCCCGCGGGGTCCCCTGGGTGCCACCCCAGCCCTTTCACCATCCACTTCTCCCACAGCTGATCCACTTTGGCACCTGAGAGGCTGCAAACCCCAGGCAGAGCTTTCCTGGCCCCGAGGAGGGGGTGTCACCGTCCCCAGGGGTGACCCACTGGGGCAGGCAGAGCTTTCCTGGCCCCGAGGAGGGGGTGTCACCGTCCCCAGGGGTGACCCACTGGGGCAGTCGCAGCTCTGGCCATGGCACAGCCCCTCTCCTCGCCCCCCCCCCCCCCCCCCCCGAAACCAGGCACGGTGCTGGCAGCACCCCCCTCACCTTTGGGGAAACAGCTCTGAGGGGTGTAAGCGTGGGTAGGAAACACCTCCAACACACCCTTCTTCTCCACTGAGGCACAGTAGAAAGGAAAAGACTTTTTTCCCCTAGTTTTTCAGGAGGGTGCTTTGGAGGCTGCAGGGGGATGGTGAGGAGCACCCGCTGCCTCTGATTTAATGGCCTGTTCATGTACTGCTCTTACACACGGAGCATCCGAGCGCTCTGTGGCTAGCAGGGGTAAATGCCCTCCCCTGATCAGCTCTGCTCATTCAGTGGCTCGGCCGGCGTGACACCGAGGTGGAACTGGAATGAGAGCAGCGACCCAGGAAGCCCTTTCCCTGCAGCAGAAAGATGCTTGAGCTGCATGCCCGAGCGTCATCCCGCACGGCTGGGGCACACAGGGAGCAGGGGGCAGCCAGGGTTAACCACGCCTGAGTGGGCCCCCCCGCCGTAACCCCCCCGGTAAAGGCTCCGGCGACGCAGTGGGGTCTGGCCGGCTGCCCTGGGGTCAGCACGGCACAGGTGTGTGTTGGCATGGGGACCCAGTCTGGGGGCTTGGTTGCACCTGTATTAGTGAGCTGTTTGGAAGGTGGGTGAAAGGAGATAAAGCCAGGCTGTGGAGGGAGGGGCTGGTGGTTGGTTGGGGGTTTGCAGCCTGTCTGGGGAGCAGCGGTGCTGCTGCAGACCAAAGCCTGGGCCTGAAGAGGCTGTGGGCTGCGTTGTAGCATCCCCGAGCTGTGCCCACTGCCGGCACTGGGGCCCCAGCGCCGGAGCTGTGCCAGCACCGTGGGCTTGGCTTGCAGGTCGGGACTGACCCTGTCTGGGGGGAACCAGCCCTGGTGAGCCGCCCTTGAACAGCAGCGGTGGGAGGTGGAGGAAGGAAGGCAGAGGCTGCTGGGCTGCCCAGGCTGCAGCTGGGTTCGCTGGGGGGGCTGGCAGCGGGGCAATGCAGACCCCCAGCTTGGGGGCCAGGCACGGGCTGACCGCAGATGAGCCAAAACTGGGCTGAATGCTCCCTGGAGGGAGGAGTCCCCTTGCAGCATCCCAGGCCAGCTCTCACCCAGAACCTGCTGGGACCCCCTGGGTGCTGGGCTTGCTCCTGATTTAATAAACCCCCTCCAACTGCAGTTATCTCACCGCACTGGCCGCGGGCTCCAGCTGGCAGCGAGCTGGGGGCTCGGAGCTGTCAGGTTGGTGACATGTCCCCGCCGTGCTCCCCGGCCTGCTGTCTCCATCCTCTGTCCCCGCCGGCGCACCCCAAAGAGCTGCAGCGTCTCCTCTGCTGAGGCAGCAGCAGTAGCAGCAGCGCTGAAGTTTGTGTAAATAACAGTGCCAGGAAGGGCAGGGGTGGGCGGCGGGAGGGAGCGTGATTGAGAGTCCACTGCAGATAAAAAAGGGATTCTTCTTTCAAGTGTGCCTGGCTGGAAACACTGCTGGCCCGTAGGGGTGTGCTAAATCTTCCCGCTCGGCAGGCTGCCTTGCTCTGGGGGTCAGATCCTGAGCTGAAGCGAGCGCCGGCGAGGTGCCAGGGGCTGGGCTGGCTCTGGGCAGGCAGGTCTCTCCCTGGCTCTGCCGGGCTGCGGGCTGATAAGCGGGAGCAGTCGGTACGGGGAGGTGGGTGCTGTGGGTGAGCTGGGCTCCCCGGGGATTGCTGCCCCAGACCTGGCAGTCCCCTGGGCTCCCCAGCACCACCCGGAGAGGGTCCCTGGGGCCGGGCCACCGGCTGTGCCTGCTCTCCCATGGGAGAGAGCTGCTAGGGGTGCAGAGTCCCCCCCGTCCTGCTGTGCCCCCGGCTGCGGTGAGGGGCTCAGCCACGAAGACCTGCTCGGTGAAGCCAGAGAGAGAATAAATTAGCAAAGAAAGCAGACAGCCCTCACCGGCCAAGGTTCAGAGCTGGTTCATAGACACGGGTCTCATTTCTGTTTCTTCTGGACATTATTTTATATTATATTTGATGTTAAACTGGAATATCTAAATAGAGCCAAATTGGATTAACAAGCAATGAATTACCATACACTTTGACTGTTAAGCCCACAAAGTCAAGAACAAATAAATTGGAGGGATCAAAGGCCTGAAAACACAGAGCAGAAATATATATAACATATTTCTGTTTGAAGTAGGGCTCTGCAAACACAGGGCATTGTGTGCAGGTCAGGGAAGTGGGGAGTGAGGGACCCTGTCCTGCATTTCTGTTGCTCCTGGATCCGGATTCTGCTCCCATGTCGTGGTGCCAGTGGGGAAAGGTGTGAGACCGGCTGCCTGCAGTCGCTCGCCTGGGACAGAAACCAGAGCCCAGCTTCCCCGGCCGGCCTGCCCTGCCACTGGTTTAACTTGCATCTGTTTTTTGTTTTGTGGTGGTGTCCTTTTCTTATGGATGTGATGTAACCGCGTGTCCCCACAGAGCCATCAGGGAACAAGCACAGGCAGGTGTGCAGTTAGAGAGCTCACCTCCGCTGCCGCCGTGGCCCGGTGCAGCTCCCTCCTCCGCTCCCAGCCCTGGGTGACGGGAACGGGCTGCGGCAGGAAGGGTGGCTCTTTGGGACAAACTCTGGGCTTTAGGGTAGGCATCATGCCGTTGGCAGGGGTGTCTGGGCTGCTTCTGTGGGGAGGTGGCTGGTAGCTGCTGTGCTGCAGCACAATCAGTCATTGCAACCCAGCATTTTTTAAAAAAAAAAAAAAAAAAAAAGGCAAACCACCCAACAAAGCACCACCGTAGCACTGCTGTAGAAAACCCTGCTGTGGCACTTTCCATTAATACAGATAAAAAATTGAGACACAGGGCAAACAATATTAACCCCATCACTGATCAAGCTTAAAAGCTTTTCCCAAGAAAAATTGTCTCTGGATTGCAGTTAAATAACGGGCAGGGGGATGGCTGCCTGCAGAATCCTCTGCGCGGGGCCCTGTGCTGCTTGCCAGTGCTCCTGCTCAGGGCAAGTGACGGGGACTGGGATGGCAACAGAGGGTCAAAGACAAACATGAGTCTGATCCCTTGCAAATCTTTAGGACAGAAGAAACTCAAAGCCGGCCTGGTGTTTTAGGGGGAGACGGCACAGGAGCAAAGCAGCAGCCTTGGCGGGGGCCAGTCTGTGCTGCCTGAGGGTGATGAATTGTCTTCCAAGGCCAAAATAAAAAGGAATTACGATAATAAAACCTCCAAGAGAGAGTAGCTCAGTGCAAGGCTTTCCAGTTTCCTGGACAGGAGGAGTGCAGGTTGCTTGGTAGGAGCTCACGTCCCCCAACCGTGGAAGTAGCTGGGGCAGGGGCTCCCTGCACCCCTGGGGCGGAGGGCTCCGGTGTGGCCCAGCTCCCCAGCTGCGGCAGAGCTGGTTTCTCCTTTCCAGCCCCAAATCTCTGCCCCCCACCCCCCGGCCATCGCTCCCCAACCCCTTTTGCAGGTGGCTCTCCTGCCCATGCAGACGATGCTCTGCCACCAGCGCTACCTGGTCACCTCCCACCAACTGTGGCAGCGCGTGGGACCCGCTCACCCACCGCAGCACTGGGGCAGCTCCCGGGGCTGGGGCCACCCGGGAAGGGCCGGGCAGGGGCTGGGGGGGTCCAGGGACCGGACCCCAACAGCTCCCTGCCAGCCCCGCTCTGAGAAACCTGCTGCTGTTCCACTCTGACTGTGCCCATGGGAGAGCAGACAGAGGCGGGGTTGTTTTGACTGGAAAAGGAAAAATGAGCAAACAACATTCTCCAGGTTCCTTTCTATCTTTTCTTTTCTTTTCTTTTTTTTTTTTTTTTTAACTTTCCTGATAAGGAAAGAACCTTTTTTCTTAACTCCC